CTAAATAAGAATGAATAAACTTCCATCTCTCTCTAAAGCCGGAAGAATGGTGACCCCACAACGCAGCTCACAGTCGCCGTATAACGTGGATATGGCGACATTTTTAAATTGCAACAGAGACTACGTGGATATCACGCAGTGCCCGAAGCTTTCTACTAACGCAGCAGCGGAGCGGCTGCCTTCGAATGTGTTGGTGAACATTACCCAGGACCTGGATGACGAGTTTGGCTCTTTGGAGAACATATTCTCCGCTGCGAGTATGGATCTGGGTCTCTCTGATAATGAGGAAGGCACTGAAGGCTTGCCACATCAAGAACGAGCTGGGGTGTTCGTGTATAAGTTCATTAATACGTGCGATTCGGACTATGAACGAAGTAGACGCGTACTCTTCATTGTTTTGTTGGTGCCAGCAATTCCGCTTGTCGGGTGGCAGCGCGAGTTCATACAGCTTCTTGGGCTTCGTGACGAATTCGATCTACTTTAGCCCGAGCCTTGCGCTCATCATGTCGAATTTGATCCGTCTTGGATCGATTCTTGCGTTCTGAGTGGCGCGGAGGCTTTGATTTTGGTGGGCATTCCCGATCTGCTAACTCTGTCGGCTGGCGGCAGTTGTCGTGATATTGTCGTCGATGTGCTTGTAGGTGCTGGACCAGGCGCATTCGACCTTTGTGCCATCACCTCGCGAGCCTTCGATTCAGCAGCCGTTTGACTCGTTGTGAAGACAGCACTTGGACAAATTGCTGCAGACGCTGGCAAGCATGCTTACCAACCAGCATTAAATGAACTTATGAGAGTGCAGGTAGATTTGGAAGCGATACCGAGACCGCCACCACTTCCAGAAGAAATTGAAGCATTTGGGGGGGGGGGATTCTCTTGGACAGAGAATCTGTGGATCCCGGACGAAATGGCGTCGTGTCTACATCGCAGGAAGTTTGAAAGAATCCAGGAGACGAGTATTGAACAATCCTCTGGATATTTATATCCAGAGTCTTAGTGGCTTCGGAAACCCTCGAATATCCTGTATCATA